TGGGGGAAGGAGAAGGGGGGGGGGGTGGTCAGCCAATCATGTTTTTATTTGATCAGCTGGTCAATTAAAAACATTGATTGGCTTTTTAATTGATCAGCTGGTCAGTTAAAAACATGATTGGCTGACCAACCCCCCCCCCCTTCCCCCACCACCACAAGGGAAGGCATATAAAGACTACCCCAAGACATCGGAGCTCAGAATCGGAGCTCATAGCCCTGAAGATGCAGACTGCAATGTTTGCGAAACGTCGGCGCACCGCTGAATCCAAACGCGGCATTGATCCGGAAGCCAAAGATGTCATTAATCATGGCCGCGAAAGCATCAAAACTAAGATAGAATTCAGTCTATTGCAAACCCTTGAACGGAGTAGTTGATTTTTGTAGCACGACTCTCGAAATAGAAATGGACAGGCAAAAAAAACGTAAACGTTCGCAGGCGTACGTTTACGTTTTTACGGCAAAAAAAATGTAAATTCCATGGCAATAATTATACCAAAGTAGGTAATACATCATTCGCAAGTGCATCAGCAGCTAAATTAAGGGGTCTCCTCAGTAATATTTTAGGGCATAGAGTGGGGGTAAAAATCAAAGACGCCGACAGTCAGCTGCAACTTCTAGAAAAAAAAATGAGAGGAAAGATCTTCGCATCCTTTGATAAAAACTACCCAGCATAAATTATTTTCACTTTATTAGAGATAATAACTTCCTCAGAAAATGATTTTATACATTGAAAATCTTTNTATTTTCACTTTATTAGAGATAATAACTTCCTCAGAAAATGATTTTTTAGATTGAAAATCTTCCTATAATTATAAAAATTGAAATAAATTAGTGATGTCAACTTGGCAACAGCGCGATTTAGTTTCAAGGAGTTGGTACTGATTCGGTCGGTAAAAACATATCCTTCCTGAGTATCATCGTGTCATGTGGCTATGTGCTAATGGAGTAGAGGTTATATCAGCTCATCGTAAACAACAAATATTTGTTTTAAAATAATTAATAACTGCAGTCAATAGTTAATTGTGACAATGGAAAATTTAGAGGGAACCAGGGTCAGATATAAAGGAAAATTCATCAAGAAAAAACGTTTAAATCAGCTGTTATCTGAAGTTCACGTTGGCAAGAATAATAAAGGCAGAACAGTTCAAGTGGTTCAGCCGATCCTCGACGAACAAAACGGAGATGTGCCAGTGAAAAAAAGAAAATTACAAAATGAAGGAGTAGGAGGAAACCTGTGGGTTTCCACACAAGATGAAGAAGCGCAGAACAGTGCTGATGAGTGGTTTGAATCTGCTGATAATGATCTAGGAGAATCAGTGTCCCCAGGGCCATTTACTGGCAATTGCATTGTGGATTTGAAGTTATTGGGCGAGGCTCTCGTATGTGAAGCATGCAATCATCCTCTGTCTTTGAAGGATATTCAGGCAGAGAGAAGAAGAGGTCTTGGTTCATATTTATTTATCAAATGTTGGGAATGTTTGAAGATACGGAGGGTGCCTACCAGCAAGTACCTGCCAGACCGAGAAGATGGCAAAAAAGAGAATTTCGAGATAAATTTTTAAGCTGTTCTAGGTAAATATAAAAAATTCTTGTTCTTCCCTGTTGGTATTAATAATAATAATCGCTGTTGGTACTAATAGATTGTTAAATTTTATAGGTTTTATTCATGCTGGAATCGGAAACCAACCATTCAATAAACTATTGGCACCCTTGAGCATTCCCCCCTTCTATTATAACACCTTCCAGTTCTACGAGAAAAAAGTAGGCCCAGTTATCGAGACTATTGCTAGAGAGAGCTGCGACAGAGCGAAAAAAATTGAAAGGGAGTTAACAATAGCGAATAAGAATGATATTGAAAAGATGGTGTCAGTATTTTTCGAGGGGAACTCCTGTGTCAATTTTTTGGCAATTCAGAGTGAAAACACCCATCAGTGAGGATGGTTTTCGCCAAAAGTTTGCAATTGAAAAACAAATTTCCATTTATTTCTACAAAATAAAATATTTTCAAGAGAGAATTTCTACATATATCCATTTTATCTGAAATGAACTTTTTTTTAATGAGTTTTTCTCAATCAATTGAATTTATCTTGAAATATTCTCTATTTTTTTTAATACTCTAGTGAGCCTTTTTTTATACTCTATTGAGTCTTTGTTCTTTTTTTTTTAATTGGAAAATCGGCGAGTTTTCTCCCAGAATCATTTCGCCTTTGAGAAAAATGGNAACAAATTTCCATTTATTTCTACAAAATAAAATATTTTCAAGAGAGAATTTCTACATATATCCATTTTATCTGAAATGAACTTTTTTTTAATGAGTTTTTCTCAATCAATTGAATTTATCTTGAAATATTCTCTATTTTTTTTAATACTCTAGTGAGCCTTTTTTTATACTCTATTGAGTCTTTGTTCTTTTTTTTTTAATTGGAAAATCGGCGAGTTTTCTCCCAGAATCATTTCGCCTTTGAAAAAAATGGCTGAGGGGGGTATTGGCTTGGATGATTTAAAAAATGCTTTTGTCAGAGGTGGCGAGGATGAAATGTTAAAATTATTGAGGAGTAAAATCAATTACAACCCTCGGTCATTCAATATTGCAGACTTATACAAAAATTGGAGATTACTTGCAGAAGATAACACCAAAATAGATACCTCACCAAATATTTTGTTTTATAAGATTGAAAAACTAATATGATTAAAAAACATCATCCTATTGAATAAATTCAATTGTTTATTATTCAGAAAATCTCAATTGAGTTTTATTCATCCAAATAACCCGCACTAGAATCTCGCGCATGCGCGTCGAGTACTCTGCCGCGATATTGCCCAGTCTTACCGCCATTTCCACATAACCAAGTATCTATTCCAAAAAATTCTGTGGTTTTTCAATAATAACTAAATAACTAAGAGATAAAACATGATGAAATTTCATGAGTAAAGAGTTCAAACATAAACAGTGAGATAGGTGCAGAGTCTGGACGCCCAGCACATTGTCCATGCTAGCTTTTTGTTGTTTTGAGGCGGTGTCTATCCACCCTGTGCATTACCATTATTTTTTATTTTCTGAGTTTTTTATCCACATGATAAACCTATTCCGGATTCTGAGAATTAATTTAGAACTACTTGAATATCACACTATCCAATTATCCACATTGTGGCACATTTCCTAATTTTTATGAAAATTACTGAGGAGACTCCTTAAGTAAGAGGGCCGCAGAAAAATTCGACATTAGCGACATTATTGTCTCATCAACGTTATAACAGTTTTTTTCTGCTATTAGTAGTGCAGTGATTTGTAAAAATTGTAAGGGTGACATAAACATTTTGAAAGCTTCAACTCGTGGTTTGGGATTTCATTTATACATACATTGTTCTGCAATGTAAATGCGGTAAAGAAGACGTACCTTCCAACCCAATAATAGACGAAAAATGTGCAGAACAGGATTTTTTCGAAAAAGAAGGAGCTTTATATGGCGCAGGAATTGCTGATTGAGTGTATTGGATTTTTTTTGTATCATAATACCTGCATGAATGGAGTACCAAACGCTCAACGTCTTTTCCTTCCTGTTACAGGAGTACCTGACCCGCCTCACCCGGAAGTTCAAAGGCGATTTTCTCGGTACTAAATTTCCAAGAATTTCCCAAGACTGTTTACAGATTATGTCAAAAAGTTATTCACCTATCAATTTAAAATTTTTACCACCTATTTGACATCTACATATCTTCCACTCCTAGTAACTTCAAAATAATAGCTTCAATATTTTTTATTTTTATAACAAATAGGCTCGAATTTTCCCGGGAAAAGGGGCCCTTATCCGGAAAGGCAAAATATTTCATTAATTTTTTCATTTATCCTATTTATTCTACTAGGGGACAGAGCCAGATGTTTGTTGAGTACTACAACATACAATTTTCTTATTTCAGATGTATTGGAATCTCAAAACTCCGTAATCAATCATTAAATCAGTGTTGGGGCCCGTCTATTTCGTCATCAAATCATCAATTCCAGATTGTTTGGCGGCATGGAAAGTTTTGTTACTTCACTAGTAGAAAGATAATAAAAAATAATGAAAAAAAAAAAAAATTTGTAACTTGTTTTTTCATATGAAATAAAAATTGTGGAAAAGTCGCCATTTTCACCGCTCGGAAAAGTGCAGACCCCCTTAAGGATAATTGGGCGAGCCCGGAGGGTTGGAAAAAAAGCAGCCATTTTTTTTACGTATTCTTTAAATGATAGAAAAGGCGTGTACCAAGCTTCAGACTGCTGAGGAGCATGGTTAATTTATTATGAATTTTTGAAAAAAGTGGTCATTTCACCCGTGATCTTATGGAAATCACCAAAAAAACTGCAAAACCCAAGGAAAAAATGCAACCAAAGTTATGAAACTTTAGACACATTTAGAACATGTAATCAATGATTTTTTGAGTAAAAAAGATTGTCGCCTAGGACCATTGTTTATTAATAATAGCGAAAAAAGTACTGGAAATGAAATTTCTGTGCACGCAGCTCAAACGAGCAGCAACTTCTCAAGTACCGATCGGGTGGGGGTAGCGCGGTCAATTTAAACGTCTCTTGAGAGCCTTGAGAGAGAACGATGAAACGTTGTGATTGGACCCTCGAGCCAGTGGTACTAGCTCCTGGTGAAAAAAAAAACCACCGACGATGTTGCCACTTTTTCGCATGGATTAATATTTTTTCATTTATTAAAAAAAACAATCTGAAAACCATTCAATGCGTGGAACAGATACAAATAAATTTGAGTAGCTCCAAAAATAATTTTTAACCGGAGATACTGCCTAATATTGCCTCAATTTTGAATTCGAATGGGAAATTTTTTTTTGTTCAGCGATTGGTTTTCTGCAGGAAAACAATAGAAACCCCTCCACCTCACTTCCTACATTTCCTCTTCGCCCGATTATCCTTAAGAGTTATCAGGGGTAGAAGCGAAGTGGGCGACGCGTTAGCACTTGCGCAAGGTGACGGCGTGTTCCGATGCATTTATTGGCATAATCGTTGGAGATGAAGAGAAATTATTCAAATGAAAAATGTTCGTCATAAAATTTTACGTAACATTATTTTGTTTGAAACGCAACTAAAATTCCAGAACATTCTGGTCCACTATCGGCCTACTTCGAAAATCTCCGGGACCCTTCGGGTCATCAGTCATAAGTCACCGAAGCACGCGCGAATCAGTTTAGGCTTAGCCTCTCACCGTACAAGTCTATCTCGGGCAAATCACCTGTACAAGTTTTATATCGCACCTCACCGAGTACAGTAGCTTCTTGAACCTCACCTAGCTCACTAGTAATCAAGTACATCACCGGTCTTTGTAAGATCACCGTTTTGTTCAGTACATCACCTCTGTTGATTAAATCCAGTCTAAATTCAGTGACTCAAGGAATTTACAGTGAAAGACAATCATCAATTTAATTAGACATTCAACTGTTGAAAACCAAAGAGTGTAAATTAATTGACAAGTGGTTCGATCCCACAGAAATATAGTGTGATTATTTTAATCCGGCTACAGTAATTTTCCCAACAACTCCCTCCACATTTTCATCCCACATCCACCCCAAATCTAGTCATTCACCAAACATATTTTTTTGAAATTTTTTCATACACGTAACCAGTAATGAGTTATTAACGCTCTTACGCCCCATAATAACCAAATTATTCTCTTCGTGGAATATTATTTTCGTGGAATAATCTAGTCAACTTAACAATATGGGACATTCCATGTCACCTCAGCCACACCGGATTTTTTTTGTCTGGGAAAAATCATTGAGTAGGTGCATTTTGAACTACTACATATAGCCAGTGATCATGCAAAATTTCATTGCCCTGTCACTTTTTGTTTCTGAGATAATCATTACGAAATTTGAAATTTTCAAAAAATCTTTACTTCTAAATGGAGCATCCGATTTCGATAAATAAAAAAAGAAAATTTTTGTTTTTTCTCGTACTTCAAGATAAAAAATACTTCAGAGCCGTCAAGAAGCTCCTAGACCGGTTTTTCGAGAACTTTTCGCGTTTTCATTTTTTTTTCACTCTAGGGCCGCTCGATATTCGATCGAAATATTTTTTTTATGATAGAGGATGTCCTTATATGATATGAAAAAAATATGCCAAAATGGAAGAGCGAAGCAATGCACCGGAAATTTTTTTTTTTTTCTAAATTTTTGGGTTTTTCAGTTTTTAGGGGAGATCCATCGGTTTTTTTCAAAGAAATCAGTCTGTCAACTATTATTCTTTGTTCATATATGATGCCAAAAAAGTACGCCATCATGTAAGAGAGAAAGAATGCTCCGAAAAAAAATTTTCTTCGAGATTTTTACGTTTGTCTGTCGTTTAGGTGAGTTGCATTATTGTTACTGAAAAAGGGGTTTGTCAATAGACATTTTCTGTTCTGTTGGATAGAATAGACTATTGAT